CCCCAAAACCCCAAAACCCCAAAACCCCAAAACCCCAGAAGTAAAAAATAGAAAGCATAATGAGTGATTTTGGGAAATATTCTTTTTTTACAAACAATATAAATTATCATAAAAATTAGATTTTAATCAGATTTTATATAATTCAGAGCTGTAATAAAAATGATAAACACTCTATCATAATAACAATCTAAAAAAGAAAAATTAGCTGGTGAAAAATCTCAGCTGAGAAAATCTTTACCTTGAAATAGTCCAAATGAATAATCAGATCAGAGACCTGACAGCAGATCTTCCCTTCAGAAAAATAAACAGAAAATAAAGTCATTAACGATTTCACCTGAGAAAGAATATCCATAGAAAATCACAATTCATTCTGGGCCAAATAATATGATATAGCACTTACTTATTGGATGATAGTAGGAGAAACCATAGGTTTTGACTTCTAGTGGTTAAATTGGTGTAAGCTATTTATCAAATTTTATGAATTATAATAAATTTGCATTAGAACGGACTGTGGTGCCATCAAATTGATTCTACTCAGAGTAGGAGTACAATGAACTAGAAAAACCTGAATACTCTAAGAATATCCTAAAATTTAACTGCTGATGGCTTAACGTCAGAGCAATCTGCATATTAAGACAAAAATCAATTAAAGTAGACTATTCTACCTCCAATATCATAAATAGCAACTTAATCTTAGAACAGTTTTAAATCAGGCAGATCCTACGGTGCAGGGAACATCGGAGGGTTTAACTAATCTTAGTTACAATAGCAGAATAGTGATAAGAATAATAGTAGTAATACCTCCTAACTCGATTAAAGTGTGAGCAGTGCTTACTTCTAAATAAGTCCTTAACCATAGCTGACATAGCAATCGTTATAAGAATCATTAATAATCATGTTGTAGAAAAAATGTACAGAAATGGCAGCTTTAGCTGATTAAGAAGTAATGAAAAGGCAGAACATCGAATTTTAGTATGGTCAAACAGTAAAAGAAAAAGATTTTTTGAATAACCTGAATCAATAACTGATTAAGGATAAATCTTCGTTAGAGTAGGAAAGAAAACATCTTTAGACAGCTTTAACAGAACAGAGAAACTAGAACTAAAAGCTTAGTGAAAATATCATTTAATACAGAAAAACAATTGAAACATAGCAACATTAACTAGGATAGTATTAATAGTTAGTAAACTAGAAAGAAGTTGAAAAATCTATTATGTAGCAATAAATCTCAATGATCTCACAGCAGCAATCTGTTTAAAATGTCTAATAACCTTTCATTGGACAAGATTATACGAGTAATTCAACATAGAGCACACCAACATAAGATTAGAAAAAACCTGAAGAAATAATTATGACAAACAATTATCGAACTTTATCTCCTTAAAAGAAAATAAACATCAAAAAATCATAAATAAAAAATATCAGTAATATCCTGTCTCAATCGAATCCTCAAAGTAATGATGTTGACAGAAATTCTTAGCTAAACCCAAACGATTCAATAGAATAACCTATAGACTCAGATAAAATGATTAATGACGATTTATAAAAACTTAAACTAGAAAATAAATCACTTAAGACGAAGATAAAGAAAGAAGAAGAGACTAGAAAGCACTGGCAAGATATTTGCAAAAAGAAGGAAGAAGAGGTATTTGAGCTGAGAAAGTTTAATGAAGACATGAAGATGCAAGTAGAGCAAGAAAAAACTAGTTCTAAGAGACATTAGCTTTAACTTTCTGCGAAATTTGAGAGAGTCAAGGCACTTGAGAAAAAGTTTGGAGTCAAAGATTTACATGAGGTTTAAGCCAAGGCTCCTTAGCCTGGTAGAATAATAGTAAATGATGAGGAAATTCGAAATAAGATGAGCAATACTGTTACTGGGGGTGTTTTAATAGGAGATAAAACTAAAAAAGATAGAGCAAGAGGTAAAAGTGTAAGATTCAAGGAGCCAGAGGAAAGTGATTTAATCCCTGATGGAGAGGGAAGGCCAAAATTATTTGGAACAGGTGAGTATTGATTGAAGTTATTTATTATCCTTATTAAATTTTCCTGCAAACATATGATGATTTTAATATGATGGGGTTTTGGGGTTTTGGGGTTTTGGGGTTTTGGGGTTTGGG